TATGTATGTATGTTATGAATGTATGTATGTATGTATGTATGAATGTATTATGTATGTATGTATGTATGTATATATATATATGTGTGTTATATATATATATATGTGTGTGTGTGTGTGTGTGTGTGTGTGTGTGTGCGTTTCTCGTCTGTATGTGTGTTCACCCACACGCACACGTGCATTTGTACACGTATGTGTACACGTACACGCAAAACCAAAGTATTTTTGTGCACGAAAGTATGTAACTATTGCGTGTGCGCAAGTGTATACACGCTCACACGACAGTTGGCTAGCTGAGTATAGCCCTTCATATTAAAAGCCTTCTGCGTCAGACACGAAAGTCTCAATGTCCGGCACATGGCTGCTGTGATTCTTCCACTCTGGTGAATTGAAGACTTCAACCCTCTGGTACATCACTCTGTTGATAGTTCCTATTTATAGAGATACTTGAAAGACCCTCTTCACAATGTTGAGAACGGACTCAAATGTCGCACTCCATGCATGTAGATGTCGGGCGATAGTCAGCATCCGACTGTCGTGTTAATGCTTGTCCAGACATGCTAACATCTATTACGAAACACTGTACGATAGCCTCACATACAGACCGATGGAGACGCGAGATGTCCTAACATCACATATACCTCATCCGCCTATAAGTGTCACCGCAATACACTTACCGTATATCCTGCTGTGTTTATTAGACCATCGAACCCCCGAATAGCTCTTTGTGCAATAGTTTTTACACTGTGGGTATTCGAGTGGTTTCCAAAGCAATCCAACACGCACAGATAATGTTGCACACAGTCTCAGAGACATATTCCATGCTTTTAATAATAATAAAGTATAGGCACCATAGTAGAATATATCCCCGTATATTTAAAAAAATATACTATCATGGCCCATATCAAGTTATCAACCTACCAAAATGGAGCCACTGCGAGAGTGCAGAGGCCCTGTATTACAGATCGCTGATTCACTAACTACTCGGCTCCCAAGCTTTGGCCAATCGGATCCGCAGCTACCATAGCTTAAGCTGTCAGGATTACCCTTGGAATTTATTCTCAGAAGGTCCGCCGTCTATTTCGGTATTTCCGTAGCAAAAGCAGAGGACAGATCTGTGTGGTTTGCACCTGCGAATTGATTGTTGAATGGTCGAAATTCAAACCAGTTCTTTAAAAGAACTGCCCAAACTGCATAGTCCAATGTTTTTTTTATATAAAATTTAAGAGATTGTGCCGCTGTAGTCCAAAAGATCGAAATAGGTGCATAGTAGTCATATATGGTGCATAAAACAGAAAACTTTGCATATTCCTTTTTCATATTTCTATTACTACTGGCTGAGTGGCTGACCCGTCTGGCGGTCACTCTATCTGCTGGAGTCTATCAATCTCTGGACTCTCTGGGGTGTTTGCTATTTTTTACAAAAACAAAAGTTTAACTTTCCTTTTCAGTCTCAGAGTCTCCCCACCAGTCAGTCAGCCAGGAGGCCCAGAGTGTGAAAGAATGATAAGAAAAAAAGAAAAAAATCTACCGCAGAATTAGGTATAATCTTCTTTTCTTTCGTTTATATTGAAAAAAACAAAACAAAACAAAAGGTATTTCTAAAAAGGTATTTATTTATCGACCCTATGTATTGGTTGATATTATTTCCCCTTTTTTATTTAACGTATTGCCCACAGCCCCACACACAGGCACACGCCACACAGCCACACGCCACAGGCACACTGGCAGTCTGGCACACACAGTCACAGTGTCACACACGCACACAACAAGGCCACAAGGCACAAGCTTTAAGCTACACAACAAATGAGAGTTTTGTGATCTGTTAACAGTTTTTTAAGCTATAGTATTAAATATTTATTGGCCGATGGTCGCTTCTTGCATTAAAAAAACTGTTGTGTTGGTCTGTTGGATTGTAGCACAGTTGCACTGTTATATGTAGTAGTCATCAGAGTCAGACTCCTCACTTGCTAACTGAGCCACTAATGCAGAGACCAGACGCCAAAGTTGCACAACTCTTGCAGAATGCAGACTTTTTTTTACAAAAAAAACAAACAAGCAAATATATCATGCACTGATGCAACAGCAACACTCGTCAGTGATGCGGTGAGAAACCTCTTGTCGTTCGTGAATCGTGCCAATGTGTGCGTGTTGTCACTTGTCAGTTGTCACTGTTGTGTGACTGTGTGCCTTGTGGGGCGGATGTGGGCTGTCGAGCTTGTAGGCCTGTGTGGGCTCTGGGCTCTGGGGACTGGGGGCTGGGGGGGCTGGGGCCCTGGGGCCGCCCTAGGCTTTGATTTCTCGGAGAGAGTAAACAGTAAACACTTTAGATGGCTTACCCCAGTTATAATTCGCTTAATATTGTTTTTGCCAATAGAACTTCTAGTTGAAAATCGATTTAACATCTCCTCTAGCCATTGAAATCATGATTAGCCGCTAAAGTTGTTATGTCCAATTTGATTGATTTATGGATTGAATCGCCACGGTTGTAACTAAAAAACCAGGCTTAAAATTTATTTGAGGTTTTTTATTGGCTACAACTGTTGTGTTCTTCTATTTTTTTAAACTTCGAAGCACCTGCTTCAGTTTTTCGGACTTCTCTGAATCTCTTTCCTCGGGAGAGAGAGGACTCTTGTGTCGGAGTCTTGAAGCTTGAGCCTCGGAGGGACTGAGAGCCTGAGAGGCTCTTTGTTGGTGCGAAAAAGACAATACACCCCATTGGATTTCAAAACAATAGCTAAAGTGAATTGCAGATTGCGGAAGCCAAAATCTGCTCTTATATTAGCTGTGAGCGATGTTTGCAGTCATGCAGTTATTGCAGTGTCACTCACCGAGTCACCAGTCACCACAAGCCAATGATGAATGAAGAAGGCTGTAAATGAGTGTAAAATAGTGGGCATTATCCCACTTACCCCTTTTCCGAAATTGGACTTTCGGTCCTCTACTGAGTCTGTGAGAGTAATAACGACAGAGAGGGATAATAAACCCCCAGGCCAACACCAGGGTCCAGGCCTCCAGGGGCCAGACCGCCACATGGTCAGTTCTGAATTCACACACCGGGCCCCAGGCGTGTTAAAAGAAAAATACCATCACATATGTACATAGCATAGCCTTCCAATCAGACAACATAGGCTGAAATTTTTTATATTTTATTACTGAATCTGGAATCATTGTTCGAATTTGAAAGTGAAGTAAATATAAATAAATAGTGGTGAACTGGTGATGGGCATGAAATTAATAAAATATAATTTATTTATTGTAATAAACTCAGCATATTTACATAATAAAAATAAGGAATAAAATGTGTCTGTATGTACTCTGTGCATACTAAATATGTAAATAGTATGTAAATACAATTGTAAACATCATGTGAGGCCGTGTGGGGGGTAAATACAAAATACAAGTACCGAGGTCAAGTACCGACTACCGACTACGGAGTACGACTGCCGTTAGCCGTAATATCACTCTAGTATGTGAGACTACGCCCTACGGGCCTACGAGAGGGATCGGAACGTTTCGTCGATTTTAAAATACCCCCTGCCGGCTGACGCATGACGGCTGGTCCCATGAGCCATGGGCCCTTGCCCCACCCAGGAACTCCGGATATGAATCTTTGCACAGGTCTCCCCAGCAGACTTCGACCCTTTTTAGAGTTCAAATGCAGGAGCCGACAAGAGAGCACATACATATATATATATTATAAATTGTAATATTTATATATATACTATCGGCCATTGCCTGGTCTCGATTTTAGTATGAGGAATTGACGATAATTGCAAAAGAAATATACATATATATATATATATATATAATATATATTATATATGTAAATATATTGATCTGTCTATATATACAATATATACTCTATATATATATATTATTACATATATATATATGTATATATATATATGCATTTATATATATATGTGTGTGTATGTATGTATGTATGTGTGTATTTATATATATACGTACACATATTATCATAACACATACTTCCATATACTTCCTTATACATGTACAAATAGATAATATATATATATATATATATGTCTATGAACCACTCGTAGACTTCATTTTCACAAAGGACAACAGTTGGCAGAGCTATCTTTTGATTAGCAGCTCTTCATCCGCCAAATACTCGCACAATAAAAATCTCGGATGAATCATAAAGGCCTATGAATAACCAGTAATTGTTTAATCGACTGGCGCGGTACTTCTTTTGTATGAAATAATTCCCGCAGAGTGTATGCGCCCTTTCAGCCGTTAGTCGCTATTCAATCGGATTCCGTGACACCATAAAAGCACTCATAGGCTTAACAATCGTCGAGGTTTCCAATTTAAAGCTTGACAGAACCAAGAGCGGCGATGGCGTCCTTGAGTGCGGGGTCACCCTATTCGCGAGAAATGGGAGCACAAACAACACGAGTTCAGGACAAGTTATCTATGTGATGCAGACAGTGAGCCAATCTTATATAAATATGGAACAATATACATGCATTTGTGCATATCATAATACATTTAAAAGAAGCACATAGCACAAGAGGCTAACATTCATTGATTTCTTACCTTCTGGTTCTTGAAGTGTTGAATGACAGCAGCCTCAAGTGTGTCCACAATCTGCGCCTGCTCAGCGGTGCGGATCTTGGACTGTAAGGCGAGGAAATAATGTGAAATGATTAAAACAATTATCTCATTGAGAGCGTCTAAAAAGCCCACATTCACGTTTGGAGTTTTGGGGTGTAGGGGACATACTTCAGAGTGATATCTCGTAGAGTCTAACACATTTTGACAAGGTAATATCGATTATTTCACGAGCTTCGACGGAGAAAATGAAGCAAAACTCAGGACGCAATGCGATTCTAAAGAATGTAACAGCACAATAGAAAGGCGAAATCCACTGATATCATTCATAGGTGAAAAGTCAGATATAGTACCATGAAAATCCATACGAACACGCAAAAGCCAAGTCAGCACAGAGCGACTAACTAGAGCATGGCTTAGGCATTAGACAGAAATACATTCACACAGTTTACGCCCAATGTTGCCATATACGGGCTTAATTATCACACTCCTACAGACAAAGAAATGCAAATACCTCGAGCTGAACAATCTTATCCAGCTTTCCCTTCACCAAGTCGTGGGCATCGTGCATGATCTTTCTGTGTTCGTACTCGTACTGCAAGTCAATCACATCCTGGTGCACATCCATAATGGTACTGAGCTGGGCGGGTAGACTCTCGTAGCTAGCCTCCTCTTCAATAGCCTCCACAAGGGCTTTCTCTCGCGCAATCTTGGTCTTAGAGAGTGTGTCGTAGATATCGCGTGCGCGCTCTTTCAGCATGGTGTCTATTGGCTCGGCACCAACTTTGTAGGCTGTGAGCATGGACAACAGGGAATAAGGAAGAAGTCCGCGCATGAGTCACTAGGATATTTACAACGAGACTATTACAATCCTACAACAACCCTATATATGAACATATGTATAAATAGTTATAAAAGATAGATATAGATATAGATATAGATATGGGAATAAGTATAGATTTAGACGTGGTTAAAGATATCTATAAATATAGATATAGATGTAGGTATATTATATATATATAAATATATATATATATATGTGTGTGTGTGTGTGTTTGTGTGTATGCATGTACGCATCTATGCATGTGTACAAGTATGTATATATGTATGTATATTTGATGTATGTGTGTTTGAGAGGAGGGGGGGGGACAAGTGTGTGTGTTTGTGTGAGCGAGTAAGAGAGAATGAGTGAGTCAGCCAGTGTGTATGTTTTTGAGTGCGTGTTTGAAAGTCGGAAAGAGTGTGTGTGTGTGTATTTGTGTACGTATGCGAGTGTATTTGTGAGTGTATATTTGTGTGTGCGTTTTTATGTTTGTGCGCGCGTTTGTGAGTACGTGTGTATGTGTGTATACAGCAAAGAGAAACGTCTGCTAACACAAACAGCAATGGTATGTTCGTAATGGTAATACTGGCAATCGCAGTCATGCATTGACGATGTCAGCGATGAGTAAAATATCAACTAACGCCAACCGGCTTAATGCATGGACTCAGAGGCACGCTTACGTCATAAGAGGGTGTGTAGGAGTCATCTATACTGTGCACCCAAACCCGAACCGATCATTTCCAATAGAATATATCATCCACGTGATGGAACAAAATCAAAAATATTGTGAGCAGGTAAAACCGGCGTGTATAGAACTACACTTGTGCAGAGAATAAAGACAAATTTACCTGTGTAAAGGAAGGCCAGACTGGTTCCAATGATGAGAGTCTCCTCGTGAAGAATAAGAAGCTCCTTGCTGAAGGCAAAAGCGGCCAAACCGGCTGTCAATACAGCGGTTCCGGTTCGTCCGGTGGCAGACGTTAGGAAGTCGGTTTCTACCTTACCTTCTACTTTCTTCTCCTTATCTGATATTTGAAGACAATACATTTCAAGCATTTAGGATTTCCATGCAATAGAAAAATTGAAGCATATATCTTCCGCAGAAAAGTTGCAGATTGGACAGAGGGAAGCGGTACAGAATCAATGAGCGTACCAGAATATGAAAACATAAAAATATTTCACTTTCGAAGGAATTCCAATACCTTGAAAAATTACAGTAAGAAACCATAAATAGTATCTTGGGATTCAATTAAAAATACATATGCCAACGTACTGAAGCGAAATACCAAGTGTGCATGCTTACATTTCTACCTTTTTGCATATATATATATATATGTGTGTGTGTGTGTGTGTGTCAGTGTGTGTGTTTGTATGTATAT